TGTGTGCACAGCTAAATAAATATACCAAAATGAAATAAAGGGGCCGCCATTCACACCCTTCGTGATCTACCAGCATCATCATTTGAGAGCTACTGGTAGATCACCAATGGGCACCCCTGATCTAGAGGATCACTCCAAGCTCACTCCTGTGATTGAGTATAACTTCAATCCAGAATAGCTAATTAAACATAGGTTTGTAATCCATCACGGGAGTGAGCTTGGAGCAGTGACTACTTTACAACACACACAGGGACCATGGGGAAAAAAAGTAGCCAGCCTCCAGAAGGAAGGACAGTGTCAGCACCAATTCAGAGATGATTTGAGGATCTACAGCCGAGTGATACACAAATAAGATACATTGTTGTTAATAGTTCAGGTACCTGAATGTATTTTTAAGATGTAACCCCTGGCGTTCAGCTCGGTTCTTCTCGGTGACTGCTCCGCCTGAGACATGCCTGTAGCTTCAGAGTCTTGCATTATCCTTCAAGCTTTTCATAAATTGGCTCAGTGATTATCAACCCCTCTACCGGAAATCTATGGGGAAAAAAACGAGTTTCCAGTGAAAGTATATCCTGACGGAGATTAGCCAAGTCGAGACAAAGTCATCTTTTGAACTCTGCACCAACATCTACGGAGGCTTTCCATTTAAAGGACGACTACTTCAGTTTCTCTATATGATTAAGCGCTGCCAAACTCAAGGAGATACATATATGAGAAATCCAACACAGCTATTTAGTTAAGGCTATGATTTATAACATCTATCCTACTAGCCGAGGTAACAACTGCACCTCCTGATACCTGTGTTTCCTCTCAGTCTACTATAATAACAGGAACCTACCATCTACTCTCCAAAGGTGACTTTTGAAACAAAAGAGCATCGGACCGTGAGTTATACTCTTTTCATATATCTTTATTGATTGCTGTTTCATCGCAAAGGTCTCCGTATTTGTTGTGCTTATACCAGAGTATACGCCTCTCCTTTGGCTACAATCTTGATATTGCTGTTCCCTCGTTTTTCAATCAAGGGCAATCTCCTCATCCATCTGGAAATCCTTCGAACATCTGAACCTTGTTCACTGACAGTTTTTCTCTTTTTTACGTATTAATATATCAGACTTTTATACGGCATGTCTCTTAATTGTTAAGGATTTTTCTATATACCCACTATTCTACTATAGGCGGGATGCAGTCATTCACTTGTTTATATGTATTTAATTGTCTGTTTGTATGTATAGTCAAATATAGGGATTTTAGTAGACATGTGCACTGCCAAAAAATTCGTTTAGTTTCGTTTCGTTTTAAATTCGGATTTGTGTTATTTCGTTTTTCGGGATTCGGGTGTGAAAGTCAATTCGGATTCGGAATTCGGATTCGGACGAAATTTGGTAGCGTTAGGTCGAACGTTCGTTTCGTTTTCTGTTCGTTTCTTATTCGTTTCTTATTCGTTTCGTTCGTCGTGACATTCGAGGGGGAAAAATATTTTTCTCCTTCTCTATTGTCACTTTGCTCCAACGAACGAAACGAATAAGAAACGAATAAGAAACGAATAAGAACAGAATACGAAACAAATGTTCGAACTACCGCTACCGAATTTCGGAAATGGAAATTCGGATTCGTTTGCATTCGTTATGTCTGTAATTCGGAATTCCGAATTTCCGAAAATTCGTCCGAATTTCGATTCGGAACGAAACAAATCGCACATGTCTAGATTTTAGCTTCATTTAGATTAAATAAACTTATGTGTATTATCTAGTATATTATCGTGATTTTGATTTTGTGAGGAATGGTGGGATCCCCTATTCGGGGAACATTTCTTGTCTATAACTGATACACACATAAGATACATTTTTGTTAATAGTTAAGGAACCTAAATGTATTTTTAATTTGTAACTCCTGAGTTTAGTGTCACCTTATTGTACATCTCTGTAATAGTGAATTATTGATACCAACTATGTTATTGTGTAAGTCCGTAGTTATGGACTTGTTACTCATTGACTTACGTTGTATTGATGGAATTGTTGAATTTGAAAAGAAAATAATTAAATAAATTGGATCAGACACATAAATTCCAGCTTGTGAACCTCTCGGGGCCCACTTAGCACCTCGCCGCTGCAATACCAGCTGCACACAAGTTTAACTTCATAATTATAGTAAGAAAAAAAAAACTCCTTACACAGCGTGTAATACACAGAGGTCAGTTACCATAAAACCCTGTGGGGTGCTGGAAAGATATAAATACTTATTCCTCTAATATTGAACGGCATATGTGAAGACTTGAGCTGTTCTTACATGCGTCACTTTCTAAACTCCAATGTTACACAAACCTTAGTAAGTGTCCTTTCCATTGGACTTAATTACACGGTCTGTATATAATTGAAATTGAATGGTCACTCCAGGTGCGGCCGCCCCAGGGCCCAGGATTAGGGGGGGTCCACTGACGGGGGCGGACTGGGCTGGAGGGCAGGGTCACTCTGATGCCAGCGCTGCGGTGGCATACGGCAGACCGGGTAGCACAGAGGTTCCAGGGCTGTCAGTCTGACCTCGGCTTTTCTCCTGATGCGGGCACTGTGTGTCACATGCCCTGCCCCCTTCAGACAGTGTGGCCGGGATGGTGTTGGGCTGTGGCAGCATGACAGTGTTTATGGTGAGTAACTGAGTCTGTGGGGGGGTGAGGATGGGAGGGCGGGTACCCAGAACTGCACAAAGTGTGCTGTAATTTCATTTAATTAGAAATGGAATTATGATAGGGAACATTACATGTTCCCTCCTATTATCTAATTCTCTATCCCAGTATTGGATGAAATATTGCAGTCCTGAGTCAAGTGTGTTACTAAGTCCTGAGTCCAGTGGGTTACTAAGCCCTGAGTCCAGTGGGTTACTAAGTCCTGAGTCCAGTGGGTTACTAAGTCCTGAGTCCAGTGGGTTACTAAGTCCTGAGTCCAGTGCGTTACTAAGTCCTGAGTCCAGTGTGTTACTAAGTCCTGAGTCCAGTGGGTTACTAAGTCCTGAGTCCAGTGCGTTACTAAGTCCTGAGTCCAGTGTGTTACTAAGTCCTGAGTCCAGTGGGTTACTAAGTCCTGAGTCCAGTGTGTTACTAAGTCTTGAGTCCAGTGCGTTACTAAGCCCTGAGTCCAATTCATATACTGTTCTGCATTGATGCATAATGTATTGTTGGGATTTGTAGTCCCTCTACAGCTGTTGCCATTCTGTGTAAGCTCCTCTGTACAGAGACTGATGGGACTGGCTCAGTGTTCTCTGTACAGCACTGCGGTATATGTTAGAGCTATATACATGTATAATAATAGTGAAGTAGAGTGTAAGCTCCTTTGGGGCAGAGACCACTGGAGGGGTTGGGGGGCCAGTGAGATCCGCTTTGGCCCCCTTGAGAAAAAATCTTGCACCAGGGCCCTTTGTTCCTTGAGTCCGGCACTGGGTCACTCCACCTAAAGTGGTGGATGCTGGAGAGTTCAAATTCTTTGGCAGTTTCTTCTATCCCTCAAGAAGTCTATTGGTGAGATCTCTGTGCTGGGTTCCCGGGTCTACACGCCAGCTGTGCCCATTGTGTCTTGCTTCTTCTTGAAATTTTCTTCTGTTCTATAGTATGGTGAATGCAACATTTTTATTTATATTGTGGTGGATGCAGGAAGTGGAGCTGGAATTAAAGTGGGCAGGAATGACCACACCTACCAGGTCAACCGTAACAGAGCTGGAAATTATGACAGGGAGATCTCATTGCTGGAGCAACCAAAACATCTAAGGACCCTGGCACTGACTAAGTCCACCAGGCTCCACTTTGCACTAAAATATAATTTTCACGTAGACTGACCTAAAGGAAAACTGTTATACTGATTTTCTGCACTCAATTTAAGGGTCAACTCCATACTACTTCAGGTTTGCCCACAATTTTACAGGTTTAATTAGATTTTTGATGGAATAAAGCAGGAATATCTACTATCACAGCTGATGTCAAAGCAAAATAAAATCTTGGCTCACCACATATCAGCATACGAATAGGTTGTTCTGCCCCCGTGTCCTCAGGGCCGGTGCTAGGATTTTTGCCTACACAGGCAAAGTTGCATTTTTGCGCAGAGGTGCCGCGCGTGTCGGGATCCTCTGGCAGTCGCTGGCCAGCTAAATTAGGACCCCACCTGGAGCTCCTCGCACCGGACCAGCGCTGAATGGCCGCTGCTCTCCCGCACCGAAGCTAAGTGAAAAAAAAAAAAAACATAGCGCAAGCATCGGGGCATTTTGACAAGTACAAGTACTTGTCAAAATGCCCTGTTTTTTCCGCCCCTCACCCTGCAGCTCCCTCAGGCGGCCGCTTGCCTTGCGGTAGCGCCGGGCCTGCGTGTCCTGATAGAACAACCTCTCATTGGAGTATAAAGGTAAACCAGATCTCAACCCCTAATGTTCATTTTTTGTCCTCTGCTACCTGCCAGACTCTTCCAGGTGGATGATGCTCATGTGCACAGTAAATCTGCTGTATGGTGCATACCCTAATTGCCGGGGTATTCTATAGCTGGCCTGATAGGCTGGTGGTTAGGGCTTGAATCATCTTGGTATTGGAGGTATTCTGCCCCTGGTTCTAACTTATAGGGTTTTCCTTTATTATTATCTTTGTTCATTTCCTGTTCCCTCTCCATGCCAGTGGGGATCAAGCTTGGAGAGGTCTCTACTTTACAACACACACAGGGATCACGGGGAACACAAGTAGCCCCCCTCCAGAAGGAAGGACAGTGTCAGCACCAATTCAGAGATGATTGGAGGATCTACAGCCGAGTGATACACAAATAAGATACATTGTTGTTAATAGTTCAGGTACCTGAATGTATTTTTAAGATGTAACCCCTGAGTTTAGTGTCACTTTAATGTTCATCTCTGTAATAGTGAATTATTGATACCAATTGTGTTACTTTGTCAGTCCTTGGTTTTGATAAAGGAATGAAGATCTGAAGGAACTGAGCCCTCTGTTCCTTGCTATTGGTATCATTTTTTGTATTTTAAAATTGGTGTATGTTCATTGCTTAATACATGGCTACTGTGGTCAGTTGAAGCCAAAGTCATGCAGTCTTATAATTTACTTTGGGAATGTTGGGGGAAAAGTTTGAGGAACCTAAAGTGTTTGTAGAACCTAACAATGAACTTCTCTTATTTGTTCCATCTTGTACTGTTGAATACTGTATATACCATTGACAGTTTTTTTTTATATATCTGTTTGATAACGGTAAAAAATACCTGTTGATCCTGCCAAAAATCAAATGTTGTGTATCCTGTGCACTCTGCAGTGTTATCTCAAACATTACCAGCCAAACTCAGTTCTCTCGATAAACCACAATATGTGACATTTGTGTTCTTGAGTTTAGATATACCTTAATTAACAAGTTTCTCAGACAATTAAGAGGGTCATTCATGTAGGAGCCGAAGGATACAGCCGTAACTTCAGCTTACCCTTCGACTCTCTTCGACCGCCGCTGCGCTTCGGTTCAGTCGAACCGAAGGGCTGCTGTACGGGCCATTCACAATGGCCTGTACAGCAGCCGAAGGCAGGAGAGCGGCTCAGCTGAGCTGAAGGCATATGCTTTGGCTCAACTGAGCAGAAGTGACAGCCGAAGCATGAAGAAACGTAATCCTCATGTCCCATAGCACTCCTGACCGGAGGAAGCCCAATGCAGCCGGGCGGGTGCAGCAGTGACAACGGATGTCTCCGCAAAGTATAGATGAATAAGGATAGTCACTCACACTCCAAAGGTAGTAAAGTTAATAGTGTTTATTGACTAAGCAGGCTTAGGAGATGTGCATCATTATAGTCAATAAACAATATTGACTTTACTACCTTTGGAGTGCGAGTGACTATCCTGAAGCATGAAGAAAGGTTGGCCGAAGGTGGCCTTTCTCCACGCAAATGACAGCTGGGCGGAGCCAGCCGTGATCACAGGACTGGCTCCGCCCAGTTGTAATGACAGATCAGCGTCCCCAAATAACCTGGGGACGCTGATCTGTCATTAAACTGGGCAAAGCCGGCCATGACGTCACAACTGGCTCCGCCCAGTTGTTATTCATTGGCCAGGACCTGCTAGAAGATTCTGGCAGCTGACGGCCAATGGGAAACAGTTGGGCGGAGCTAGCTGTCACTGCTAGCTCCCCCCACTTGTTTTTCTTTTGCCGGCATCTTTGCTGGTGTGTTTTTTTTTCTTTTCTTTAAAGTATCTAAATAATTTTTTTTTATTTTCCTATTGTCTTACATTTTAAAATCATTTTTCAACTTTTTTTCTGTTTCTTTTATTCATTTCACTTATTTTCTAGGCTGTTCGGTACCTCGGAGGTACCGAGCAGAATAGCCGAGCCGAATGGCGCATTCAGCTATTCTCTTACCGCCGTTCGGCCCCTATGAGAATAGGGGGGAACGGCAGTGAGAGAGCTGCCGGAGATGCGGCTCAGCCAATCCAGATGTTGGATCGGCTGAGTCGAACTCCTTCTGCACTTCGGCTCAGCCGAACATGCAGAGCGTGTTCGCCTAACTGAAGGCAGCCGATGTACAGCTGATTTTATTGGATGTAAAGCTGAAATCAGCCGTACAAGCTAGAAATGAATAGCTGAACAGCGTTTGGCTCACTTCACTTCGGCTGGGTTATTCACTCGGGTGCCTTCAGTAGCTTCGTGAATAGCCCTGTAAATGTTACAATACAAAATCACGTATGCTCTCTTTTCTCGATGGATCATGGATCAGACGAGCTGTATCACTGACACTTTATTTCTTGTTCTCTTGTTGCATGAAAGTGGCAAATAAAAGGACACTTCAAGCAGATCTACCAGCACAGAGATATGTCCTCTCTCTCACTCGGCAACTTGACACAGCCGTCCTCTCTTGACAATACCACCAAAATTATAGCGGTGACCACCTTGGTCCTGATTGTCCTATTCTTCGTCATGTTCTTCCTATGGGGGGCCATCATAATCCACGTCTACTTCACCACATCGCGCCTACGAGAAACAGCCCGCTATCTGCTTTTTATTCACATGCTGTTCAATGATGCCTTGTATCTTCTCATCTCGTTTTTTATATTTCTTTCTGCTCTTTATAATGTTTACATGTTATTGCCAGTATGCTTCGCCATTACTACCTTCACGTCTTCCTCGTTTCGGGTCACACCCTACAACTTGGCCATTATGTCGGTAGAGCGGTATATCGCCATCTGTTTCCCTCTAAGACATGGGGAAACTTGCAGCGTCCGCTGGTGTAATTGTATGATTGTAATCATGTGGGCTCTGGGTTTGGTTCCTGCAGCTGTTGACTTTATCTGTATGAACTTCTACGTCGACACAAGTTTTTATTCCCTCAATATAAAATGCAACTGGATCACTTTTTTGAAAAGTGACGTACAAAGCACCATAAGATCACTGGTCCAAATCGTCAGCTTCACCATGGTGGGGCTCATAATCTTGTACACCTATGTTAAGGTCATGCTGGTCGTACGAAACATACAAAGCACCGACAAGTCTTCCGCTGTCAAGGCCGGGAAAACGGTCCTGCTCCACGCCTTTCAGCTGTTCTTGTGCATGATGTCGTTCTCCTCCATCTTCACAGACCTGTACCTGAGGAACAATTATTCATTTATACCAATACTCAATTACTTCTTCTTCACCTGTATCCCCAGATTTATCAGCCCCCTGATCTATGGGATAAGGGATGAGGTTTTCCGTAAATATATACAAAGTTTATTCACGTTTGTTTGTTTAAAGGGACAAGTTTCCAGTAAATAAAGTCATACTACTATGGGCAATATCAGTAATGATGTATTTTATTTGTTGATCCTGCCAGTAAACCCTTTATTCTCTTCCTTTAACAGGGTAGCCTCGCTGTTCATTCTTCAGTGAAATTGCACTTCAGTGTTGCCTCCCTGTGGACATAGTAGTCTAATGTGAAAAGAAAAACAATAACTGCTGTGTCAATGCTAGTTGCAGGCTACGCCACACATATCATTTGTTATTTTGCCCATAGTACCACTTTAAAGATCTTGCATCTTTTTCTTTTATATATGTAAATAAAATGTATATGTAATACAAGGTATTTTCATGACACTGGATTACTTAGTTACTAGGCATGAGGTTTGGGTTTACCATGGGTTTGGGATGAACCTTGCCCACATAACTAACATGGGATTTCCGCATAGCAACCATAATGCACTGCCGAGCCTTAAAACTTAGGTCAGTTGCCTTAGAGGGGCCAATAAGGTGGTGTTTGGCTAAACCAGCCCCCTCACCATGTGGGTTACCAGCAGCCATATTGATAAGGAGCGGTAACTGTTAAAGGGTAAGCATATGCTGATAAACTACATAGAGATAAGTGTTGGTCTTGTTTGCAATGGCAGATCTTTTAGAGTAGATGAAGAGTTATACTAAATACTACTTTGGGTACCATGGAGGGAGGTTACGGACCTGCAGGCTGCATACAAGTGATCTTAGTGACATCGCCGAGATCACTTGTAAACGAACCAGGCGTCGGGAGATTCCACATGCCTGCCGCCCCTCTGCTCCCTGCCGCCCTGAGGGCGGGCCTTGGTTGCCTTGTCGCAAATCTGGCCTTGTGTGTAAGTAGCAAAATTATGTATATCTTGGAAAATTTGTAGGGAGGGAGGGAAGACTTTTGTTATATCTGAATTCTGCTGATGTCCTGTAGCCTCTTTACAGCCTATTGCTGTCCACATACACTACAGTGATAACAGGCTTCATGCGTTTTTTCTCACAGTATATTTCCTAGTTTTTGCTGGCTGCAATTGTTTTTTCACAGGCCTTATTTTTAAAGCAGACCTTCCTTGGAAGGTCCGCTCTATTGAGAGTCCACCACCCCCAAAGTCAAATATCATGCTGAGGCAATTTAAAAACAAAAGGTTTTGCATGGGGCATGGCTAACCATCAGCATGGCTGGCTGCTTCTGAGTGAGTTCTGCTCGCAGAGTCTTTGAATCTTCATCCATCCTGTCAGTCTACTACTCTCCAGACCCAAAAAACAGCTTTTTGTGATCAGCACAGCCTGCATGACCGGCATGAGTAAACGCCAGTAGCGTGCTGTCACTGACCGGCTGAAAGAGTTTGCAAGGATGCGGTGCCAAAATAGAGGCTGAAGCTCTCCTTATCCCAACGACGAGCCCCACAATACCCAGGGGCCAGACAAGCCTGCGATAGGGGATGCACAACCAGCTTCTAAACTCTTTCTGTAACAGGTAAGGCACGATGATGATGGAGTCAAGAGCCTCATTTTCACCCTGGCATGGTGTTGGATGTGGGGTCTGCAGGGGGGGTGGGGCTTATCAGAATCTGGGCTCACAGATATTTTCCAACCCCCAAGATAATGAGTTTGGGATACATAATAACCCTTGTAACTTAATGAAAAAAAAGACAGAGAACATAAGCACACTCCACTGAAAAGTTTTTTTAATAAAACAAAATTGTCCCACGTTGTAAATCCAACAGCAATCACATTGTTGAGTGATGTAGATCCATCATCAATCAACATGATAGATGCCCCAATGATTCTCTCCCTTCGGACTTCTATCATACATGACATTTCCCTGACACTTCAGGAATGTAAACAGCAGTTCCGGGGAAACTGGTTGACATCATTGACTATATATGGAGTCCCATTTTGTTGCACTTCTGACGAATAAACTCCACAGTGCGATCGGGGTTGGGTGAAATTAGGGTGCTTTAATATGAACTGCAATAGAATGGAGGACACTCATCACTGAGGGAACAAGTGTGTAACTGACAGGAAGTTCCCTCAGAAACAAGTAACTAATTTCCCTTTCCACTTACAGTGCAGCAGGTGCTCTGGTAAATGTGTCCTCTCTCTACAAACAGGATTTTAGCTTGGAGTGTTACTGTGTCCTCTCTGTAAAAACAGGAGTTTAGCTTAGAGTGTCAATGTGTTCTCACTAAGAGAACCTTAACATGTTATTAGAATTATATTTTGGGGGGTGTCTAAGTTTACATTCTTTACACCTGCAATGTGAAACAAGCCCACAGGAGGAAAGTCATTCACTTAGTTGGCATTAGTTATACTGCCACTAAATAAATTAGTTCCAGGTAAAGCAACCGAAGGTTCAAGGGGTAAACTGGCTAATTCTGCGCATTTATTTAATGTTTGTCAAACCTCAAACAGCCCGGGTAGGGCCACACCCACTGTAGACCCCCAACCCAAAGCTGTTCCCTACTATTGGTCCCATGTTTGGGAATGATAAGATAAAAAACATTCTGGACTCAATTATGTACTTGAAACTGAACTATGGGCGAACACAAAAATATAAATTCAATATATTTCTCAGAGGCTATAAACCCACTTTGTGCACCAAATGCCTTTATTACTCTGTAAAAGTAGTGGTGACCCATCATCACTGCATTGCACATAGCCGGTGCAGAGAGAAAAGCTTTGGAAAGGGCCCAGCAGGCCCCAACCACTACAGGCTGCCTGCAGAAAACCACACGAGGGGGCGGAGACAAGACCAATCACCCTGCACAAGGATGGAGAACAGCAGTGACCGATCTTTATTACAGGAACCTCCTACACAAAGGCAAAGTATCATGGTGGATTACTTCATAGTTCAGCTTTACCAGGAGGTATCTCTGATCACTGCCACTTCCCTTACACTTTACATTCCACTCTGTCAACCTTAGGCCAAAGTGGAAATACATCCCTTTTGGCTGGGATTGATAGGCCCTAATGATCATATCCATGGTAAGCTTAAAAGAGAACTATGGGGTAATTGTTTTTCCCCATAGTTCTCTTTAGGGTCATGGAAGGACATATACTAACCTCCTCCCGTGACCCAAAACTCAGCATATTGCGAGCTATTGCCCACGATATACTGAGAGTGCCGCAGGCGGGACGGATCCCAACAATACTGTCGAGATCCACCCAGCTGCGTGACTGACAGCTGGCTCTGACTCCATTAAAAAAGCCCTAAGCCATAAAAACCCAGCAGGGGATCTATTTGTTCCCCACTCTATCCAAAACTTGAGAAACAGGTTTTAGCTCTACACAGATGAAGTTTCTATAAAGATCTTTTCCTTTTTAGTAGAAAGGTATAATAATGGCTGAATTGCAATATTTAGTCAGATGTCGTGTGTTAGTGTTCAGTGAGCAATGATCATGAAGGCTCCCTATAGACTCCCGGCTTTGCCTAAGTGCCGTCTCTTGCAGCTCAGAGCTCCCCTGCACATCTTGATGTAAGATTGTTTATCTCCCTTTACAGGATTCATTATCACATGATCAGTGTGGAAGTAATTGCCTTAATGAGACGAGAAGTCGGTGTTAGCAGTCCATCGGGTGAAACAAGCTTTGGCTCTAGTAAGGTTAAAGGTGGATTCAGCTGCCGGGTCCCTCGTGTTTCCTAGTTGCTTTTCAAGCGTGGCAGAGTATAATAAAAAATAGTACGTATGATATAAACACATAAATATATCTATATACTATAAAATATATGAATATTATTTATTTGAAGTAGGGGTGTAACTATGAATCATTGGGCCCTATAACCAGGGCCGGATTTACTCTCTCTGCTGCCCCAAGGCCAGGTTCCTCAATGCACCCCCCAACCTGCCAATCCCCCCCTCCCCATGGAGAATGGCAGACCTGCAGGCTGCATACAAGTGATCTCGGAGAAATCACTGAGATCACTTGTACAAAACAAGCGGCGGCTTCCCCGCTGTACATTTAGCTCTGCTTGACCAAAGTAAATGGCTAAATGTAGAACACAACTACCCGCCCAGCACCCAGAACTGCATGTCCCGGGCATTGGGACATAGGAATCACACACCCCTGCTGCCCCTCTACTCCCTGCTGCCCCAAGGCCGGGCCTTGGTTGGCCTTGTGAGAAATCTGGCCCTGCCTATAGCAAAAATTTGATGAGGCCCTTAGGATAACTCTTACTGTAGCAGCTTACTGGAGACACTCTGGGATCTGGGACTGCATTAAGCTGGCTATAATGTCATGAATAGCCAGGATCAGGAAACCAAAAGAGCTAGATAGAAAATGTTCGGGTGAACAGTGACAGCAGCCAATTATCATACCCTCTATGCCCGAATATACTAAAATGACATTCGAGCATACATATTTTGTTTTCAGAATACGCCGGCGGCCATATTGTCCGCCAGCGTGTTCTGCGCATGCCCGCCGCCATCTTAGAGGTGTAGCGTGTGATGTCACATGACGGTGGTGTCACACGCTGAACAAGCAGTGGCCATATCAGCCACCGGCGCGTTCTGCGCAATGGCCGCGCCATTTTGGAGTAGATCTTGGTATACACCGAGATATGGCCACCGCTCGTTCTGCGGTCTGAGTGTGCGGTTTCGGAGGCTCGTTGCCTCCGAATCCGAAACAATATAAAAATGTGTTTCCTTTGACAAAACGAATTAAAACGTTTTTCCTTTTCACTTGTTTCGTCTGAAAACGATTTTTTTTTGTTCTGCAGATATCTAATTATCATTCCTACATTCCTTATATCTAATAAGTGACAACAACAATGCTTGATTTCTATTTAAAAATGAAAGACTGTTGTCACTTATTAGATATAGACTATATAGAGCCAGTGTGGTCAGTTATAGTGCTGGGAAGATATTAATACTTCTTCCTCCTCTAATATGGAACGGCATATTCGAAGAAAGAGCTGTTCTTAGATGTGTAGCCCAGGGTTGCCACCTGTCCAGGATTCACCCGGACAGTCCGGGTTTTGAATGATGTGTCCGGGTTTCATGGCAGCAGAAATCCGG